AGTTTCCTCTCTCAGTTAATAATGCGCGTACCTCTAATAAATTATTTTATAAATGTCATATAATAACTTTCAATTATATTGGATTCTTTACACCTCTATATAACTTTTTAAAAAATTTCGTATTGGTTGTATTATAAGTTTCGTATTATAAGTATTATTAACATTTCAACATAATAACAATTAGTTTAGTTAGCTTTTACAGAAAATCCAACTTGCTAGTTTTAGGTTTTCTCGACATTTCTGTATAGCTTAAGATTAAAATTGAAAAGACAATGTATGAGTGATAATGTGAACCAAAGTTCGTCGAGCTTTGGAATTTTAAAAACCGTTGGAAAGAGCAGAGCAGTAGTCTTTCGCAAAGGCAGGTCTAGCCGTTTTTTTGATACGGGGGAAAAAGTGCCAATAATGGTATTTAGTTTTTGAGATAATGGAGCATCCGATTTAAATAATTCAAAAAACATTTTATTGGTAAAATTTTTATAAAGGCAGGTCCAGCGTCTTCGGAGGTCCAATAAAAAAAGTAAAAAATAACGTCATTTGGCCGTCAAAAATGAAAATTAGACATATATACATCGTATTATTAGATATTTTGTAATGATTATAATAATAAGTACAAATTTTATGTACATTTATATGGGTTCCGTACCAATGTTCACACGTTACAAATTTTATGTACATTTATTGGGTTCCGTACCAATGTTCACACGTTAGATGACTACGCGGCACTTACGCGCTTCGATATATCGACTCCAAATCATGTAGTGCGTGATTGCTTTAAGAATGTTCAAAATTTAAAAAAATCGAAATACAAAAAAAAATCAAAATATGAAAAAATCAAATTTTTCAAAAAAGTCAATTCTTCAAAAATTTCAAAATTTCTCAAAAATCTAATTTTTTCAAAGTTTTGCCAAGTTTTTTTATAATTTAGTTTTCGGTACGGGAAGTTGCAGCAATTTCCCTTATTTGTGCTAAAATCTTTTATTATCTATTTTACTTGATGTCGTGCGTTCAATGATTTTATTAAAAATTTTTAGTGTATACATATATATATTGGTTATGTTATTTTAGTGTATACATACATATATATTGGTTATTTTCTCTATTGTGCAACCGATAGATAAATTATCTACAATTTATTCAGCCAAACAAGGAGAAGAAATGCGAAAAGAGCCTCCGTTCTTTGGAATGTATACGTTTATCAACCTATAATCACATATTTATGAATATGCATTTTGTGAACAACTTTCATTTCAATGCCATTACTGAGTTTGAATTCACTATTAAATCTTAGATTTTATTTTCACAGTTACATTTTGTTTTGAGTTATAATTTAATTAGGTAAGTTTATAAACTTAATGGAAAACTTTTTAAAAGTTGAAATTCACGTGGAAGTCATATTTTATAGACTGATCCACCATTCCAAATTCGATGATGTCGAAGTTTAGCGATTCAGTTTATTCTAGTTCTTAGTTATATTTGTTATTGGTATTGTTGAACATATTTCATAGGCACTACATACTTTTATTTTTCAACTTTATGTAAATAATTCATATATTCCACTGGTATAACCGAGAACAAATCACACACTGACACTTCTTATACTTTATATAGGTTAAATATTGAACTTATTGGATAATTTCTATATTTGATATTCAATTATTTAAACCACCGTTAGGAATGTTACCTACCTAAAATTAGTTCCACTTTAATAATTTAATGCTTTATAATTTAGTTTCCTATCTAAAATTAGTTTAATTATAACTTAAAACTAAAAGTAGAATCTAAATTAGTTCTAAAAAATTAAAGAATGATCTATAATTTGAATAATTTCGAGACTTTGTATAGCCTAGTATTATCTGGTGCAATCCTGCTTTCCCCTTTTGTTTCATAATGTTTCTTTTGTTCACTTCTTTAAATTAATGCAAATTATATGCAATTTATCAAGTACACCTTGCAAGTATTCAAATTTTTTATCACATAAATTATCTAAGTGTTAAAATTCACATATGTAAAGTGATTTTGCAAAGGCATTAACCTAAGTGAGGAATAGAATAAATTTGATTCTACTTTTGTTTAGGAAAAGATATATAATGGATTTTTTTTATTACAACTAGTTCCATTTATTATTACAGATAAAGATGAATTTATATATAGTGTCAATTGAGTAATTCTTTCTTTACACTTTTGTAAGGGAGCCATATTCGTGATTTAGCTAAATATTTGATTAGCAATGATAATAAAAGAAACTTTTTAAAGTTTGAATTCATGTATTCATCATCGAATACGATCTAAATTTAATCAATTAGCTAAAAATGGTTAAATATTGAAACTTTTATATTTATAGTCTGATTACAACTGTTTTACACCTACATTCTATAATTACGATAAATTAGATATGGAGGCCAACGACAAGAGGAGGAGCTTTGAATCTTTTAAAAAAATATAGTATATACTATATAGTATAGTACAGAAAACTTCAATTATGAAAATTTTGTACATAGCAATTATGTGGATTCTATTCTTAAAAATATCTGGAAAATAGGTTTATATATATATATATATATATATATATATATATATATATATATATATATAGACTCAAATTCTCTAGAAAACTTTTTACTTTATCAATCAAATATCAATCATTTCAAAATTTTAGGAATATATTTATACATGTTTTAAGAATACATAGTAATATGTATTTTTGAAGAAAAAAAATAAATATTTTTTATGTTATCGTCGATCTCCAACGGCGCGACAAAAAAAGGCCTTTCACTGCTGCAGTGATTCCGGCCTTCTACGTGGATGAAATTAAAAAAAAAAAAATCTGGTTAAACTAGATAATATTGTCTGTAAAATGAACTACGATAAAGAAAAAAATCAAAAATTGACACAATGACGGCATTTTTTAAAAAACCCAAAATCTTGGTCGTTTTTTTGGACCGTCAAAATTCGATTTTTGATCCGATCAAAAAATTGATAGTTCATTTTACGGAGAACTATATATAGAACATGTAAAAAAAATGATAGTAAAAAAATAATAGTAATCGGATCATTTGCTTTTGAGTAATCGCTGCAGCAAATTCAGAAAATGCTGTTTCGAGAAAAACGCGTTTAAAGATTAAATAATCGTTATACTATATACTATATATATACTCTTTAAATGGCTGTGACTCAAAAACTATTCAAGATATCGATTTAAAATTTTGGTATGTTATTTTTAAAGGTATAGCCTATCGAAATATGGAAAAATTGAAAATTCGATTTTTTGAAAATTTCCCTTAAATTAGTTCTAGCAATATAATTTAAACAATTATCCATGTGCTAAATGATTCAATTATATTGAAACAAAATGTTCCAGGTTTTTTTAATATCTGTAGCTTTCACTGTAAATTTCTAGAGTTGCTAATGCAATTAATTAATGAGACAAATATAATAGGTTGTCAAATATCTCCCTTTCGCCTTTTTGTATTATAAACCAAGAGCAAAAAAGCGGAAGGGAGATATTTGACAACCTAATATATTTTTTCAAATTCAGTAAAATTTTTCAAATCATAGTTTTTCTATTTTTATCTCAATCTAATGCTTTGTATACTCTGAGACATATTTTAAAATCATGTGTTTCATTCAAAACGATGTGATTCTTTTTTTACTCTATTTCATTGGCAGAAAAGTTGCATATTATGGATTTCTGAGCTCTATATTATCGCAATTTAGCGAAGCGTTTAAAATGTATGGTATACACATTTTAATCTTTATTTAAGATTTAAAAGTATTATGCATGGTTTACAAATTAAAGTAAGCGCATGCATAAGTTATCGATTCGTGATGTTATCAATAGCATTACCGTGTAATATGGGTTAATACAATATGACAACTAGTTGAACATTCTGGTACAAGCAAATGTCGTTGTGTGAGGTTCAGCATGCGATCAGCACGACATTTGCACAAAGACCTCAGAGCAGACACGATCCGGTTCCACGGGAAACTACTATACTAGGTAATCCATATGGATTACATCACTCCACATGTAATCCCGCATCAGTTGTAAGGCGAACGGAGCTTCTTCTTCGAAATAAACCGAATTGTATGAAAACGACAACATAACCCAATCGATATTTAACACTAAACCTATCTAAAGCAGGAATTAGAAGTGTGTGACATTGGGTTTTAAGGAAACTTGTTGGTAGGCACTTTCCTCTTATACGATTTTTTTTTGAGAAAGGTCATGTTCATTAATGTATTTTGGGAAATATTTAAAATGTAAGTACAAACTAAAATATTGTATTTGCATTTTTGAGATAAAATTGAAAATATCATTAGTAAAGTTCAAACTGTTTGGCTAGAATCGATATTGAACTATCTAATGAACCTATCTAAGGTAGAAATTAGAAGTGGCGTTGAGCTTTAAAGAATAGCGACGATGCTTCTCTCTTTATTAACAATTATGATTCTTTTATTTTTGAGAAATTTGAAGTCTATTCAACATATTAAGAAATATTTGTAATATAAATTTAGTATGAAAATTTTAATGTATGATAAAGTATTGGCATTTTGAAGGTCAAATTAAACACATTGTATTACTAGTAAAACAATCGATTGGCGAGAGCAGATATGAATAATTTTGAAATTAATATTTCATATATTAGTATTCATTATATTAATTTCGCATATATTAGACCTATTGAAGAAAGCTAATAGTTTTTTTATAATTGTATTCAGCACCAATCAGAATGTTCTATAAGCTGCTGTATTTGAAATTTTCTTCCACATCAGGTTTTGGATTGTAATCCAATGGTTAACCTATCTACATTTTCATTATTGCATTATTAGAATTTTCCTAATATGTTATTCAATTACATATAAAAATGCTCGAGAAAAGCTATTTTTTCTTGAAAACAGATTTTAGATCCATATTTCTAAGTAATAATGGATATAGCTAAAGCTAAAATCTGAAAGACAATCTGATACGAATATGTCTAACGCTAATTTTTGAGAGTCCAATTATATATGTAACTTGATAATGGTTGGATCAGAATTAAAAGAAATTATGAGCCAATAAGTTGACTGTTAAAAATAATATAAAGCAGTAGTCGATTTAAATCGGCTGATCTGCTCTACCAAAATGTATCAGAAAACTGTATTTACGTACATTAATGCATACGCCCATCTTTTCTGAAGTATGCTAATATGGTTAGAAATTACTCAAACAAAATAATATATTTTATTTGACCTTATCAACAAGTAATTTAATAAAGGCAGAACTGCTGAATTTTGACATTAGTCAGGACGAAACGGAGTGACAATGTTGATTATAACTATTATCTTTTTATCCAGAAAGAGCTTGCAAGTTGTGAGCTTTTAAGTACAACCTTGATGGTCAAACTGTTACCACTATTTGGTTATTGTGGTTAAATTTGATTGTTTTTGTTCATTTAAATTTAGGAATCGTAACCGTGAATAACAATTCTGGAACCACTGTCAAAAATAAGGGCATAATTTCTCCAAGTGACTCAAAATTAAGTCTTTGAATTTTGGAATTAAAATTTCTAAAATTGATGACTTTGAAAGGCCGTACTCTGAAAAAAATATGATGAAGTGCTTTGGCAAGTTCAATTCGGAATTTGCGCATTTAATCAGGATTGCAAGATGGTACAATACTTGTTAACTTTATACTGATTGTGAGTGAAATTAAAAATTTCTGCGTTATTTTTTATGTTTGTTGCAGTCACTTCGGTTTGACGCTCAGTTCTGGGACACCAGAATCTTAGTCTATTTTATTTTAGTTAATGTTTATTTGTTTTAGAATTATGTATATTCTCTTGTTGATTTTTGTAAGTACTTTTTTATGAAATTTCATTTATAATTGTATTAACAAATGATGTATTATTTTCCAAGCATCTAACGCAAAGAAAATGTTCCAACGAACTGATTCCAACAATTACGTTGTAGGTTAATTACATTTTTATCACTTTTAAAGGCATCTGCATTGTACCATGAAAATTGAATAACAGCAAATATCACTATTATATCACAACATTCAACCGTCGCGACCTGAAGACTACATACGTCTTCTGCGAAACGAAAGCGAAAGTTCTTCTCTGCTCTCATTCACGTACAACTGCGTTCTGACGTCCCAAAAGTAGAACCAAAGCAAGTCGTATTAACTGATTTGTTCCAACTTTAACCATTCTGTACACGATCGATGCCTCAATTTAATTTTTCGTTGGTCAATTCGGTTTTTATTTTGGCAGTGCATTTAATTTCTTTTCGATTTTGACATTCCGGGCACGGATGGCACACGAGGCGCATCCCTACCCGTGGACGATTCGCGCGAAATCACAAAAGTATAAGTTGGCGATCGCAAAGACGATTCTTCACAAACGACTGACGTGTTCGATTTGATTCAACTTTGTGCTAACGACCTGGGTTTTGTGTTGGTTTTCAGTGTGTTTTTGATAAAAGAAAGAAATGGCGACACAAAAGGTAAGTGATAGTGATTTTTTTCTTTTTATGATATAATATCACTGATAGAAATTTTTATTAATTTTATTATTTAGAGTCAATAAAGTCAAATATTGGCAGTATATTTTTCCCAAAAATATTATAATTTTGAAAGAAAGTGAAGTGAAAATATAGTAGATAGAGATAGTAGATTCCATTAATCTTTTTATGATTGGTAAAAAAAATATCTATTCATAATGCATAAATCATAATTTATTGGTAGAAAAGAAGGTGACTATGATTATTTTTCTTTCAATGATCACATTTTTCTTAGCTTTCTGACTCATTGGTTTGGCAAATAATTATTTAACAAATTTTTCGTAATTTATGTAATGTCTAATGAAAAATCAATATTATTTCAAGGGTTTATGGATATTCATCTCTCTGCCAATTGATCACGTTGATTAAAGACTGTAAATCAAATTAGCAAGCAAATTTAATATTAGCCAAGTCGCATTTCTTTTAATATATTTTTTAATTTGGCGAACCATGTACAATTTTTTACCACCTGTAAACCTTTTTATTTTATTAAATTATTAAAAACTAGATTTTATCCATATCAATCCTATATTAATTTAAATTGACTTTAATCAATTCATAATACAAATTTTATTTGATTTTATATTAATATAATGGCAGCTTAGCACATTTTTGTAATTTGTAGTAAGTAAATTCAATAAATAAATCAAAGGATATTTTATTACAACAATTAATAATAAATTAAATTTAAAAATATCTTTTGTCTCATAACATGATTCTATTACACCTTAATTTTTTATTCTCTCGGATTTGTGTATGTAGAGAAGAGGGTAATTATAATTATTTTCCTTTTAATGATCACATTTTTCTTAATTTTCTTAAAGCTCATGGCGTTGGTAATTAATTATTTCACTAATCTTTCGTAATTTATGTAATGTCTAATCAAGAATCAATATTATATAACGGTTTAGGGATATTTCTCTCCCAATTAATCATGTTAATCAGAATTAGTGGATCCAATTAGAAAGCCAATTTAATATTTGCTAAGTCGCCTTTTTTTAAATGTTTTTGTATTTTTCGAATCATATATGATGTTTTCTCTTTGTTTCATCATCCAAAAGCCTTTTTATTTTATTAAATAATAGAAATTTTTATATAATTCTATAGTTCTGCTAAGTTGATGTTCTTCAATCTTAGTGCTGGTGTGCAGCATCACACCATTCACATGTTGTTACATTTTACTTTATTCTTTTAAATAGCTGACAATAAAAATAGTTTTATCACCAATATTTATTTCTTATGCTCGTGTTCCTGATATGATGAGATCACGGATTTATAATCGCCTCATTTAAATTGATCATCGGAATAATTAACATATCTAAATAACTGATTTGAAGAGCTTGACCTTTTTTCCGCTCGTTTCTTCGTCCAGATGTCCTTCGACTAAAGGGCTTCCATAGCATTTCCTTTCACCGCCGGCATTTCTGATATTTCAACTTGTATCATTATAATTGGTTCTGAGAAATAAAAATACTTTTCCTATTGTATATAAATTATATGAAAGAAAGAAAAATACAATCACATTTTATCTAATCTTGACTAAAAATATTATTCATTATCTTACAATATTTTAATTCAGTGATAAAACCATTAAATTTTTTATTAAATTTTTGGTCGTAATTTTTTTTTGAAGGTTATAAGTAAGTTCAACTGTTTATTTAAATTATTTAGTTCATTATTTACATCTTTATTTATTTATTTTCTCAAACATTGCATCTCTATTTTAATTTCGTATCACACAGTGTTGGGAGAAAGTTGCACGCATTTTAATCAATTAACAGTTAATTTAATGCATAAATTATACAAGGAATGAATTATTAATATTAAACTCTACGTGTTATGAATTAATGATATTATATTATAAATGGAATTTTAAGCACATTTTAACAAAACATTATATTATAATTAACTTACATATTCGAAACTTTAGAAAGTTTGGGAAAAAATGATATAATCATATATTTGACATTAGAATTTTTATTTAAATTCAATGCCACAATCGTGTGATGTAAATGCAGCGTGACATGCAACAAGAGAGGTTACAACATATTTCATTTACTTAATAAAGTATTACTAAACTTTATATGAGAATGTTACTTAATAAAATGGTTAGTACCGTCGGTGACTCTCAATTTGTTGAGCTATTGTATTTTTACAACTCTAATTTGGCTTCATAATAATTTAAATTTGCCAACCTCAACCTCAAACACCAACTTCCACAACCAACTTACCCAACCAACTTTTATTTGCATGAAGATCACTGAATTTACTATGAACTTGAAACTAGTGGTCATATATTCGGAACATTACATGTGCAACAGAAAATTGATAAAAAATCGATTATATTTAATGGAATATACGTTGTCCTCTAAAATCCAAACACTATACTCCAAAAATGTTACCTTTTGTACTCACTTAGCTCATCATAGGTTTACCACATATACTGCCAATAAGACTATTGTATATTTTTGTGTAAATTTCTGATCTTATCTGATTTCTGATATTTTTGTGATATAATTTCTACATCGTAAATAACACAATAATTAAATATATAATAAATCATTACCATTTTAGTTCATTTTCTTCACTGCCTGTGCTCTCTGCATAATCTCCCTGAGACTGACTGGTGCCGGAGTTCTTCCGGCAATTGCTCCGGTTGCTCTAGCCGTGGACCCGGATTCAGATCCTCATCCTCAATACACATATGCCTATGATGTCCGAGATTCCTTAACTGGAGACTCAAAATCTCAACATGAGAGCAGGGATGGAGATGTAGTAAGAGGCAGCTACTCATTATTGGACGCTGATGGTCTTCTCAGGACAGTGGTGTACACTGCAGATCCAGTTAATGGTTTCAATGCTGTAGTTCAAAGAGCACCACCTTCTGATGCTCAAGTTGCTGCTCCTGTTTTGCATCATTAGAAGAATGGATGTGAAAATATTTGTGCTCATAAAAGAAGATTTAAGATTTTTTTGCAAAATTTTCAAAATTTAGCTGACGGAAGCCAGTATACGAAGCATACTAATCATAGGAAATTGCCAATAGGATTCATAATGTCGTGTTGTGCTGACCTATATAGCCGTATTCTTTGCTTATTTCGATATTTTAATATTTTTCAATATAAACCATCTGAGTGCCAAAAGCAAATATGAATTTAGTTTCTACTACCAAATCAACATCAGTATTATATAAAAATGATTTGGAAATAAAATTAATTCACTATTTTTATTCGAATTCATATACGCTAGGGTATTGCTAAAATTGGTAAATGAATTATTTACAGTCTCATTAAAATACCTTTTGCAAATATCTTTTTCACAATTGTAGAGACACAAATATTTTTACCAAAATGCTGATCCAGATAACGTCCTGTTGATTCAAATTTATACAGACGATCGTCTTGTTTCTTATTTGTTGTATTTCATTTTTTATGTTAACAACAATGTGATGTGTACTACATATAGAAGAAGGATCTACCTAGTTTTTATTTCAAGAATTTCGCTTGCAGCAACAACAACTGTTTCTTTTATAATTGGATTGTGTTCATATATCAGACCTTTTGTCCACCCAAAAAACCCTATTTCGATATTTCTCATGTTTGTTTTCAATTTCTAGCAATGTCGGTGCACATTTCATGTTGTTTAATTTATATAATGATTAAATTAGTAGCCCTAAGCAAAACCAAATATAAGTATTAATATGACTGTTTTGTTATTAAATTTTAAGATTATTTTTGTACTATTTAGAATAAACAATTGAAATTTATTTGTTTATTACTTATGTGAAGATATTTTTTGGCTTATTCGATTAAGAACATCCATACAAAATAATATAATGGTTTATGTATATGTATGGCGGCCACTGAGTTTTGGAGATCACTTACCAATTATTTGGACCTACCAATTCTAAATTGTTGTCCTATCTGTAATAAGACTAAACAATACTATATTTAAATACTAGGTGCGATAATTTTAAATTCATTGATTGACTGACCATGAATGGGACCTATTAGCATATACGATGTATATCTGATAAAAAAATTCTAAACCTTCTAAATTCATGTTGCAATTACTGATATTGAAATAAAAATAATTATTGATATTAGATACTATAATCAAGTCTATCATATTTTAAGTCAATTCAAATTAAACTTAATGATTTTTTTTTGAATACACCTGTTTCCTTATCCTAAATTGATTTGAAAAACAAAACGAAATAAATTTAGCTTTTCTTTTTTTCATTATTTTTTTCATTTGCAACGTTTTAGTTCTTTTATTTCATATCCAAATTCTCATCTTTTCAATAATAGTAGCGTATAAGGAAAATGATTTTTTTTGTAGTATATTTTTGAAAACTGCGAATCAAGTCTTGACTTACCTTAAAATGGACTCTAAATATTTTTCACTGAATAATCACTGAAAATTAGTTGGACGAATCTGCACATGGCGGGTAATAGTAGTAACAGTCTTTAAAGGTAAAAATAAATTAATAAAAAAAATCCTACTAAATACTTGCAATTAAAGTTATATATAAAAAGTGTTTGATATTTCAAACCAATTTTATATCACACGGGGATTTTTCCTTCCACTTACTTAATTACTTTTTAATCTAAAACATGCAGGTGGTTCATATAATGAGACATTTAAAGGATCTATTTATGTCTAATTTTCTCTGCATATTTCCATTATTTGAAGCCTAGAGAATCAAATAATCACTTTTAACAAAAACCGTACCTTGAAGTCAATGAGAACAAATATTTACATGACTTCAAGAAGAAATTTCTTCTGGCACTCTAAAAATAAAAATTTATAAAAAATTTATAATAACCCAATATATTTAAAATTATAACTTCCAAAAAACATCGTTTGTAACTATTTATAAAATTATAAAAAATAATCGGCAATGATCAAAACTCTTTGGCTTACTAATAACTAATAATATGCCTGATATAAAACCCAGTATTGTTTAAAAAAATATTGCTCACCCTGGCAGATGTTAATAAGGCTGTTAAATAATTTTCTTTAATTTAAAAACATTGTTTATCTAAAAATTTTCTGTACCTAATTAGTTTCACTTCATTAATAAGTGATCAACTTTTTATCATTTACAAAACATGATCGTTTTATGAAATTTTTCCGCTCCATTTTCGACAGCCATGTGCTTAGACAAATTAAAGCATGAATCAACTTCCTTTTTGTGAACTGAACAAATATAAAATATTGTAAAAAGTTTGTAGTGTCTATGTTCTACGATATGATTTCAACATTAATTAAGGAAAGAAAAACTGTAAGTCAAACTCATTTACGCAATATCTGGTTATGATAATTAACATACAAAGTAGTTTTGACCTTTATTTTGTTATAAAAATACGTAATTATGCAGAAATATTTTAACCAGTTCAGTTGAATATTAGCAATATTCTAATAATTTTTTTTCATTTTCCGTCTTATTATTTTTTATACATATACGGAACTCTAAATTGAATAAAAATACTATTCAAATGTTTTTCAGTCTAAATGAAAATATTTCCATACCATTTACAAATAAATATTAAATTATTCAACATTATTTTATACTGTTGATTTCATTTATTTTGTACTTAGAGAAAAGTCTCATAATAACGTTATTAAGTACATATTCGATTAATAAACGATTAAATGCATTTAAATTTAGATTATTCTAATTTTATTTGGGTTAATGCGATAATTATACATGTTCCTTTTCACGATTTTAACATTTTATTTCAAATTAGTATTCCATGACTCAGTAATTGAACTTTGGTAATGTGGTTAATTGAATCACTCATGCTATATAATTTGTATAAATTTTACTTAAGATTATGTTCTATTAGCCCGTTATTATAACTGCAAAATTATTTAATAATAAATAATTTTTTAATTTAATTTTGATAAAAGTTTAACAAATCACATTTTTTATAAGATGTTAATAAACCGCCTCTTTATAAAAAAATAATTTTATTTAACATGCGATGATGGATGAAATGAAAGCTCTACATTATTCTTATTTCTTACGAAATTAACGAATTTTTGGTGGAAGCTCGTTAACTTTCAGGAACTTAATGAATAAGTGTTGTTTTTAATATTTATTAAAACTAAATTGCAAAATTGTCATTGATCTAAAATCATTCTTTATTTCAAGCATATATAGATTAATTGTCATTGATCTAAAATTAATCTTTATTAAATTAATGCTTTTTTATTTGTGATAATTTTATTTAATAATGTAGTTTATTCTTTTTATATTACATTTATATTTTTTCTGCTGATTTCGTTTTAAAATCATTAATAATTTTTTCACGCATTAGAATTCATTTTAATTATAATTGACAATTTAATAAATATAATTTAAAAAAAAATTGAAAATTATTATAGCAATTATCTTAGTGAAAATTATTTAATTAAACTTATGAATTTCTTTACGTTATTGTGGGATTGTATATCTTTCAATCAAAAATAATCAAAGATATCATTTATATGTTTTTTTCCATTTGTACAACTATATTTTTTTAATGTTCTGCTCTCCCATAAGTAAAATTTACTTTACTCACATATTTTGATAAAATACAAAGCGAAATATTTAAGACTTACATAAATTGATTAATCCATTCTTCCAAAAACGTTGTTCCAAATATGTATTTCAATATTACAAACATGCAATATGTGATATAAATATATGTATAAGATATATCAATTTTTGGAAAATTAATTTTACATGTATGTTTTTATATTTTCATTCTAACATCCCTAATTGACTAAAAGTTTTATTAAATGAAACGGAATTGATTTAATTTACATAACAAGCAAAAATCATAACTCTTGAACCCACTATGGCACGTATTATTATATAGGAAACAATAAAGATCGCTTATACATTTACTTTTACTGCACTTAGAATTCTACTACACCGACAGGACATACGTAATAATGTTAGTGTTATTTTTTTTATTAAAATTGTATTTTTGATGATGTTTTTATCTATTTGTATTTATTTACTTTATATAAAATAAATATAAATTTATGAAATATTAGACATTTATTGTAAGTTCTTAATTATCGCTCCTAATCGTGTTAAGTGCTTTCTTTTTCGTTCACCTTCCCACTTCTACGTGAGTTGTGCGTCCTGTTCTACGGCATGGGATTTTAATCTGTATCGTAGATTCGGTCATTTTCCGGTTTTTTCAAATACGTTTTTTCTTACAAAATTTACCGCTTATAAACAATCGCCCGCAGATTAATTTAGTCAGTGCACCTTCATCAAGTGTCAAGGAATATTCATTAGGATTATATACGCAAAATGATTGGGGTAAATATTACTATGAAATATGGAAACTTTTTATAAACTTTTAACAGAGGTATTAAAATTTCTATCATTCAATTATTTATTCCTGTGTTAAACTAGTGGTTGCTATTATGTATACTAAGAGTTTGCATTGCAGGTTAGAATCGCAGCAATTTTACTCGCTGCATCATGCTGCCTGGCTCAACATCACCACCATAATACAGGGCCTGTGAGTTTCACTAGCATGCCCAATGGTCACGCCCATGTACATCACCATGCTCCTTCAGTTCATCATGCAACATCTTCTGCTGCAGCTCATCACCATGCAGCTAATGCTGCTGCAGCACATCACCATGCAGCTGCTGCAGCACATCATCAAGCGGCCGCTGCAGCAGCTGCCACGCATCAGCATCATGCATCAGCTGCACATCAAGCAGCGTCTGCTCATCATGCAGCAGCCGTTCATAATGGTCCGGGGCATATTTCGACACATGGACATTTAGCACACGCTCAACCGCATTTGATACAAGGCACGCCTAATGCCCTGACACATATTGGTCAAGGAGGCCCAAATATTATTCATAATGGACCAGGGCTAGTACATGTG